GTCATACAATCTTTCTGAGACCTTGCTGTATTCTTAGGACTGAAGAAAAAAAAAGCTTCATCAGCTTTTCCAGTGACAGAGATCAATATTGCAGGTAGTGTAATAGGAAATCAGTTTCATAGTTGAATATCAATAGTCATGAGAAAGTTCTTCCTTATATCCAGTTGAAATTTGCCTTCTTGTAAATTGTCTCCCTCACTAGTCTTAGGAATCTTAATTGCTCACTGGAGTTACATAGGATTCGTCTAATTCTTCTTCCAAATAATGTCTCTTCAATATTTGAAGATGACTATCTTTTCCCCTTGAATAAAAGAATTTGACAGGTTCACTCCTTTCCTAACTTCTCTAAATCACTTCTCCCTATTACTTTGTTTCCATTCTTTGTTTCACTAATTTTCCTTTAATTCTAGTATCCAGCACAAAAACATTCTGGATATATTTCCATTGACTTAGTCCACACTTGTATGTATGTTAGTGTGTGCATGAGGGAGAAAAGGGGAGGAAGGATAGGGGACAGAGGAGGATCTGTACACAGGAGAGCATGAGCATGTCTATGAATTTAGGGATTAGACATACCTGGGTAATTAATTCTACCTCATTCCCAGTAAGTAACCTTGAGCAAATTACTTAATTTCTTTGAGCCTCAGTTTCTTCATTTGAAAGATGATAACAATGCTGATTTTCATGTGAGGATAAGAGGTGTGAGTGAATTACCTTGTAGGTCTAGCACATAATAAGCCCTCAATTCAGAAGACTTACAGTATAGAATAGAGTGTAGGTGAAGCTGTCATCTGTGGACTCACCAACTCTGGTTCTAGCCTCAAGCCTAAAACCTGTGGGGCAATCACTATGCATTGCTTTAAACTCAAGAACCATAAGCTTGTAGTGGGACCAAAACTAGAGGAAGGTGTGTGAGAAAAGCAGCTGCCCAGTGAGTGGTGGGTTAGTAGCATTATCTTAATATATAAAGAAGAGCCTGTTATAAATTACCAATGTTAATGCAGCCAAAGACTTTATTACCTTTTTTTATATTTTCATATTTCAAGTTCTCCTAGACAAATTTATTATCTTACGATGTGTTTTTTTTAATGGCATTGTGTCAGTCAGTTCATGTATGATGTGTATTTTCTAGGAAATTCTTCCCTGGAAATAGTAATCTAGATTAATGTCCACATTGCAATTCTGTGTATGGTGCCCACATACACACTCAAGAGCATGCACTTAAACACATTCACACCATGGATTGACATTAGTAAGCTTGTTGAGTATGGAGACAATGATTTTCATATATTCTGTAAGACTCTTTATCTAAATTTGGTTTTGGGAACCTTGGCTAGGCAGAATAACAAAGACAAGGTTATGTCTATCTTAGGTTTCCTCAACTAAAAATAAATGGAAGACTTCCATTTCCACTACCATCAAGCTTACTTCTCAAGAAACCAATTCACCTAATTTTCATTTTTAATCAACTCTGTTTAAATATGGCATATTAACTGAAATTAAAAGTAATCATATATATGATTTATAAAGCATATTGTATTAAATCTTGCTATATTGATGGCATTCATCATTTACGTTTTTAATTTTTGTTCATTTCTGTTAGAATGGACATATTCTTCTCTTTTGGATCAGTAGGAAGGAACTGGATGGATCATATGATAGGAGTATCTTTAAGAAAATGCCGAACTATTTTTCAAAGTAATTTTTTGCATTACCACCAGCATGCATAAGACTTCCAGTTCCTCTACATCCTTGCCAACACTTGATATAGTCTTTTTTATTCCATTTTAGCCATTCTGATAGGTAGATGGCACTATCTCTTTGTAATTTTAATTTACAGTTCTTTAGTAACTAGTGGATGTTAAGCATCTTTTCATGTCATTATTTGCAAGCCTTATCTTTGTTGGTGAAGTATTTCTTCAGATCTTTTGCCCATTTTAAAAATTGCATTTTTTGTTTCCTTATTACTGAGTTTTAAGAGTGTTCTGGGTATAATTTCTTATTATATTTATTGTATGCAATTATTTTCTCCCACTGTGTGGCTTGTCTTTTCATTCTCTTAACAGTATCTTTTGAAGAGCAGAAGTTTTTAATTTTGGAGTCCAGATTATTAGTTATTTTATGGATTATGTTTTAGATGTTCTATGTAAGATATTTTTGCCTGGTATAAGGCCATAATGTTTCCTTACAGAAATTTTGTAGTTTTAGCTGTTACATGTAAGTGTATGATACCTTTTGGGTTTGTTTGTTGTTGTTTGCATATGGATATCCAGTACTCCTAGAACCATTTATTAAAGTGACTATTCTTTGTTTATTGCTGATTTCCCTTTATAACTTCATGAAAAATCAGTGGGCCATATATGTGTAGGCTTATTTCTGGACCCTCTAGTCTGTTCCATTGATCTATTTGTCTATCTTTATATCAATAGCACACTGTCTTGATAGTTATAACTTTATAGTAAGTCATGAAACTAAAGTAGTATTATTCTTTAACTTTTTCCTTTTTTAAAAAGTGATTTTGGCTATTCTAAGTTTTTTGAATTTCCATGTGAATTAAGAATGAATTGGTGCCCAGCCAGCATGGCTCAGCAGTTGAGCATCGACCTAGGATCCAGGAGATTGCCGTTGGATTCCCAGTCAGGGCACATGCCCTGGTTGTGGTCTCGATCTCCTGTTGGGGACATGCAGGAGGCAGCCAATCAATGACTCTCATCATTGGTGTTTGTATCTCTCTTTCCCTCTCCCTTCCTCTCTCTGAAATCAATAAAAACATATTTTTTAAAAAAGAATAAATTGGTTCATTTCTACAAAATGTATACTGAGATTTTAACTAGGATTACATTGAACCTATAAATCTAGTATTGCCTGACCGGGCATGGCTCAGCAGTTGAGCATCAACCTAGGATCCAGGAGATTGCCGTTGTTCCGGGTCAGGACACATGCCCGGGTTGTGGGCTCGATCCCCAGCAGGGGGCATGCAGGATCTCTCTCCCTCTCCTTTCCTCTCTCTGAAATCAATAAAGATATATTAAAATAAATAAATAAATCTAGTATTTTCAGAAAATTGCCCTTTTATCACTGTTCTGACTATAAACACAACAGTATATCTCTCCATTTATTTAGCTTTAAAAAAAATTATTTCATCAGCATATTATAGTTTTTAGTGTATAGTTCTTTCACATCTTTTGTTAGATTTATTCATAATTATTTCATATTTTTGATACCATTACAAGTAATATATTAAATTTAATTTCTAACTTATTTCAGTTTCTGATTGTTACTAGCATATGACATATAATTGATGTTTGTACATTGATCTTGTATTCTGCAGCCTTGTTAAACTCATTTATTAGTTATTTCTATAGATTGAATTTTCTACGTAATCATGCTATCTGCAAATAAAGACAGTTTATGTTTTATTTCCCAATCTGTATGCATTTTATTCATTTTTGCTTCATTGAACTGGATAGAGCTTTCAGTAAAATATTGAGAAGTGGTGATTGTGTATATTCTTCTCTTGTTTGTAAACTTAGAGGGAGGGCATTCAGTCTTTAGTATGATGTTACCTGTAGATTTCTCATAGACAGCATTTACCAGTTTGAGGAAGTTTTCTTTATTCTTAGTTTTCTAAAAGTTTAATTTTTAATCAGGAGTGGATGTTAGAGTTTATCAAATACATTTTCTTTATCTATTGAAATGATCATTGAGTTTTTCTTGTTTAGTTTGTTAATATTGTGAATTACATAGACTTTGAATGTTAAATCCAGTGTGCGTTACTGGGATAACCATGCGTGGTCAGGATATGTTATATTTATGGATTTGATTTGCTAAAAATTTTATTTATAACTTTTGCATTTGTGTTATAAAGGATCTGTCTGGAGGTTTCTTTCATTCTAGTGGCATTTTGTCTAGTTTTGGTATGTGGGTAATGCTGGACTCTTAGAATTAGATATTTAGAACCTCCTCCTTTTCAATTTGTATATAATTGGTATTATTTCTTCCTTAAATATTTAGAACAAAAGAAACCATCTGGGCCCAGAGTTTTCTTTGAAGGAAGATTTTTAACTAAAAATTCAATGTTTTTGAAACACAGTGCTCACTTATTGAGTGAATTTTACTCAGTATTGCCTGGAAGCAGAAGTCATGCCTTTTAATTTTGTCTAATTTTCTATTTAAAAAAAACATTTACGTTTTTAAATAGAAAAGTTCATCAGTTTCTACCCTAATTGCTTCTGTCTTTGGTGTCATGTTTAGAAACACTTCTATGGAGGCTTATAAAAATATTTACCTAATTTTTTCAAGGACTTTGTTTTAATTTTGTATTCAAATAGTTTATTAATATGGAACCCCTTATTATAGGAAATTTGAAAAATAGCTAAAATGGAGGGGAAAACATCTGTAATTTCATTACCAAACACAATGCCAATGTACATAGTAATATATTTCCTGTATGAGTTTTTCTGTGCCTCTGTTTCTATAGTTGTCATCCTACTGTTTATGTCATTTAGTATGTTCATCTAATGCATTGTATCATCAACATTTTCATAATCTTCATAATCACATTTTAATGACTGAATTATAGTTCATCAAATGATTATATTGCAAGTATGCTTCTTTTACTTGTATTGTTAAACATGTTAGTTATTTTTCTGAGACAGAGTATATGAAACAATGACCAGGGAGGGCTTTTTCAGGAAAATCTTCACTCTGCCTGCTTGCACATTTCCCTGTCCCTATGAGGGCAGAGATGCAGATATAATCCTTCTCTCCATTCTGCTTTGCTTCCCTCTCCAGGCCCACACCAGTACATTCAGTAAATTCCTGTCTGTATAAAAATGAGAATGAGATAAAAACATTAGTTTCTTAATAGTTTAGTTCATTTCTTATTACTCATATAGTTATAAATAGAAAGACTTTTTTAAGAGCTTATAATTTATTTTTTGTATGTATTAACTCGGCATCTTAATTATTTCCTAATTATTTTTTGTGCTTATTTTTAGGGAAGTTACTATTCAAGTCAAATACATCATAATACAGAATTCTTCATCACTACCACCAAAAGATCAAGGTAAGAAAAAGCCACTTTTTAGGAAAATGGTAATGTGTATGTTATAGGGTTTTTTTGTTTGTTTTGCAGTGGTTTTTTTTGTTTGGTGTTTTTTTAAATATATCTTTTTTGATTTCAGAGAGAGGAAAGTGGAGGGAGAGAGAGAGAGAGAAACATCAATGATGAGAGTCATTGATCGAGCCCACAACCCAGGCATGTGCCCTGACCAGGAATCGAACCCCGATCGCCTGGATCCTAGGTCGATGCTCAACCGCTGAGCCACGCCAGGCCCGGCTGCAGTGTGTTTTTTAATCCTCACCTGAGGATATATTTACTGATTTTATAGAGAAGTGAGAGAGAAAAAGAGAAACATCAATGTGAGAGAGATACATGGATCAGTACACGCTCCAGCCAGGGATCGAACCTGCAACCTATGTATATGCCTTGATGGGAATAGAACCCGCAACCCTTTGGTACAAGGATGACACTCCAATCCACTGAGCAACCCAGCCAGGGCTGTTATAGTTTTTATTGATACATTTCACGTCGCTGCCCTCTAACCATAGATGGCTTATTTCCTGGAACTAAGAACAAAAATTTTAATATACCTGAAAGTTTATTTCCGTTGGTAAATTACTTGGGTTTATATAGATTCCTGGGTTTTAAGACATTTCTCCTTTACTGAGAGTTCCTTGAGAGCAGGGCCATCTCATTTCACACAAAACTCACAGAGCTTAGCCCATTAGCTGACACTAATAGATATCAAGTGAAATTACAAAGTATTGGCTTTAGTGAAGCAGAATAATGTGTTTTAATGAGAGAATATATGTATCTATATAATTCATACACATGCATGCACACACAGGTGCGCGCACGCACACACACACACGGAGAGAGGGAGGGGATATTTGCTTACACATTTCTTCGACCTGTTTCCTCCCATACTCACTTAAAAAGAAGTATAAAGAAAACCATTTACCCTCCATATGACTTTTAAACAGGAAATCATGATTTAACATGAGCTCCTGGACCTTTCTGAAAAGCCATTTATAGGTGGAGATAGAGTCCTTTCTGAATAAAGAATAATAAATTTTTCTCACAGTAAAGGTGAACTCTAACTTATATGAGGAACTCAAGTCTTTCCCCCTGCCTCTATGTATCATCTTGGTTTGAAACCCAATTCTACCACTGAACTGCATAATCTTAGGTACACCTCTTGACCTAAGCTTTCTCATCTGTAAATCTATAAAATGAAGTTAATAAGTCCTACCCCACAGGTTATATGGATACTAAAGGAGTAAATATATGTAAATCACCTAGCATATTGCTAATAGCATAGTAGGCATTTATAAGATGATGGTGGCTATCATTCTTAATGGTTGTGACTAATATCTGGGCTCGCTCTGTGTGTGGAGGCTAATGTAATGAGACAGGCACAGCTGCCTCCTGCTTGGAATGCCTACTGGCTTGAGAAGGCCAAGCATGATCCAAGGAGACCCATGGGAAGTAAACAGAGCAAACCCCGTGGCTTGGTTCTTATCCAGACATTTGGCCAAAGGGAGAGTAAGAGCTTTTGAGGTTCATGCAAGATCCAGCCTGAACACTAGGGCAAGAAAGGCTATGAGAATGACAGGGCAGGACAGTAAACCCTATCTAGAAATAAAAAGTGTGCATTTCCTGTGAGTATATTGTGGTATATATCTTTGGAAGATTTCTGCAGTTCTGGGTAACTCATCAAGGGTTTGAAAGTTCGGTGTCCTAGCTGATAGACATCCTTCATCTGAGCAAGTAAGGAGAGGTGTGACTGCTTAAAAGAAAGAATACTGAACAAATGTCAGGGAAGCTGGGCTCCTGAACCCGATCTGCCTCCAACGAGCTATGGAACCTCAGACGAGTTATTTTGCTCCTAAGCCTCAGTTTCCCTATTAGTAAAGCCAATATTACTAGACACTTTTTTTCCCAGCTCTGAAAGGTTGTGCGTCTGTGTAACTAAACAATGAGCTGCTTGGTTTCTGGCTAATACAGGGAAGTAACAAAAGCATGTCACCACTCACACTTCTTGCCTACTTTGCTTCTCACCAAGGTTGATTTTGTTTTGTTTGTGTGTCTACCTCTCTGAGCTGTTGCATAAGCTTAGTTACCTCCATTGACTTGGCCAAAATATAAAAAGTGAAGCCTAGCTAGGATTCATCAGCTCTAGTAAATTTTTCATCACTCATTTCTGAAACGAAGGATATTTAAGCCCCAAATCCAGGATTTGGCAGGGAAAAAGGTATAATAGCTAAAAGAGCTGAATTAGTCAAGTGCCTTCAGTGTCACAGTCACTCTACCTCCAACTTTATATCCTTTGTTTTATTTAATTTTAATGATAAGTTAGATATATTCTGATTTTGAAGGTTCAGGTACTTTTACCAAGCTCACCAACTGTTAAGTGACTTAACTAAGATTTGATAGGTCTAAGGATCTATCAAAATCCAAAACTCACTCTTTGTCCCCTGTGTCACACTGTAAATTTATAAAGAATATTTATAATCTATTTTTAGATCATTTCCCTTTTTCTTCTCTGATCAAACATATTGTGCTTAATTACATATATGAATATTTAAAACCATTTTAAATCAAATTAGGCAGAAATTAGAATTTATATCATGGAAAATTATATAAGTAAGGAAAAACAGTATAGTATATATTAGGCCTAAGAATTCCCCAATTCTTCATTAATTTACTCATTAATCTGTTCAAATGCTTTCTCTGTGGCCTGGATTCTATTAACATTTTTAACAAAGAAAAATAACAGACTTTTAAATTATGATTTTGTTTATATTTCTGTCATGACATATAATCATTTATGCAACATGAGAAGTTTGCTCGGTGCGTGTCATTTATTAATTAAATGCTGAGTTATTTATTTGACAAACTGTTGATGGCTATCTATAAATTATGGTACTTTTGAATTTTAGACTTGTAAATACACACACATATTATACACATTAATGCATGAAATTCAGGTAGGACATCACCAGCAGAATTGCAAGGCTTAACAAAATCCACTGCATCACATACTGTCTCCGAATAAAATATCATATTGTAGAAGCAGATTGAATGATCACCAAGGAAATACTTACCAGGAGCTATGTCGGATGCTCTGAGGGATCCAAAGATAAATCAGGCAAGAGCCTGTGCTTCTACAAAACACAGAATTCTATTAGAACAGCGGACATGTATGTAATTAATTAGAATAAAGCTTGGCAAATACTGTATTAGAACTGAGTATGACATAGTTTGAGAATCTGAATGAAGGGACTATTGGTTAAGCCAGACTTTTGAAGCTGGTCAGGAAACCACATAGCAGAGAGGAGATGACCTTTGCTCAGTACATTAACACATGTAGAATTCAAGCCAATGGAGTTTAGGAGTCAAGGGATATGAGTTTGAAGCTAGGAAACAACTAGAGGAATAACTAATTACAGATTCTATTTAAATAACTAATTACAGCCTTCTATTTAAATGTTTTCTAATTTTGGATAAAGACATTTAATGTTATAATATCAGTCTAATAAAAGTTTATACTATATTAAAAGCTTTCCATTATAATTTAGTGTTATTGTTATTACTTTCTTTGTGAAAGTATTCCTTATAGACTCTTTAAAAGTTCATTGGACTTATTTTGTTACAATTTTCTATCTTCTCATGCACTCAGGATTTGGGGACAGGATTCATGGTTTTCCCATAACTTCCCTTTTTTATTTGACATTTTCCAATGATAAGCTAATAGAAATATAAAGGGCAGGTATTTTGTGTTGGAAAATAGCAAATTCTAACAAGTGATAAACCATGTTTTTGAGGGAAAAATAGTTATGAAAACAGCATGATAAGGCCAACTACAGTTGTAACTTCCACTTTAAATTTGTTGAAGGAAAAGACAAAACCACAACAGTGATTGGAAAATGCAAATGAATTTATTTACTTGACAGATAAGGAAAAGCACAAGTGAGCAACTTTGCCACATGCTTCTGTGACAGGAACAGTTATGTTTTTTATGTGCTAGAAAGACATTCACTGTGGCTATGCTAATTAAGGATTGAAGTTTGCACCTTGGAGAAAGCAGGATGAATTTTAATTCCCCGCACAGTTGGTTAAAACAGGTCCCACTGTTCATTGTCGGGAGTGAGCCTTCATTTCAGTCCAGGGAGGGCCTGTTTTACTGGAGTCATTCAAAATTCTTAGTCATTTGCCAGCTTCACAGTCGAGTTTTTCCATTTACTAGGCAAGTCTGCAGCAGGTGGAAAGGTCTTCTTATACAGGTCTTTTAACACTTCTCATCTCTGTCGTAACATTTGTATTGTTTAAACATAGTTTTCAAATTGTGAGTGCTATTTTTATTCAATGAAGTAATAATAAATGGGGGTCAGGAGACAGCAGATGCATTGAGGCAAGACCCTGGTTTTTTTTTTTAATCCTCACCCAAAGATGGGTTTTTATTGATTTTTAGAGAGAGAGGAAGGGAGGGGGGAGAGAGAGAGAAACATTGATGTGAGAGAGAAACATTGATCGGTTGCCTCTCATATGCACCCCGACTGAGGATCGAACCCGCAACCTAGGTATGTGCCCTGACCAGGAATAGAACCCGCAGCCTTTTGGTGCACAGACGACGCTCCCACCAGCTGAGCCACCTGGCCAGGGCAAGACACAGTGACCTTCAGGACCCCCTTCAAAACCACACAGTTCTCCAAATATGCATTCACTGTACAACTCCTACTAATTTTAAAACCTGAACATTATTTACCAGTGAAACCATAGCCATTACTGTTTATCATGTAAATTCAGATTAGGATTTTTTTAAAAACGAGCAAACAAAAAAACCCCTGGATTTTCTGATTCAAGACAATGCTTTTCAAATAATATGGCAGAGCCAAAAATATATTCTTATGTCTTAAAGACATAGAAATACGTACTGTATCTTAAGTACATTAACATTTTGGTATTAGTGAATATAGTGTTTCGGAACTCAAGTAAAGAAA